TTCAATGTGTCCAGAGCCAAAAGTGTATGACAGCCCAGGGATACCAGAACCTGACTCACAGAGGGGAGGTAAGTGCTGTGGGATTCCTTCCTTTCACTCAAACAAATGCCATTAGGTTCTGGTTCATGTACTTTGGAGCAAAAGTCATCAGGAGGCAACACTGTAAAGTGCTGGTGATGATGAATTAAGTTACTTTTTATTTTAAGATGTGACTCTTGATGGGTCCATCCCATCCTCCCTTTGTTAGCTGTTGCTGGCGTCCCCAGCCACCAAGAGAGCATGGAGTGAATACTCTGAACATTCACAGCTGCTTGAGGTGACCCAGGCTGGTCTCTGGATGTGAGAGACAGATGCAGTCACCTTGCTCTTCTCTGGGAACCATGAGCAAGCGTGGATCCCACCTTCATAAGAGGTACCTGGAAACACCAGCTCGTGGTCCCCCTGGCAGTGTCTCCTTGGCACAGCTTGCAGAGGTGGAATTACATTCCTCCTTGTTCATCCCTGTTCCCCTCAGTGCTCTCCACTATGTGACTGCTCAGCCCACCAGAGCTCCTGCAAGGCTCCTGTACCAAAATGGAAAAAAATATGCTATAGTGAAAGAAAATCTGGGTTTGGACAGTGATTTTATGCAGCATCAACCAGTCATGGCCTCTTCTTTTAATACCAAGCGCATGTGTCATCATGGTTTTCTTGTGCAGTCAGGAAGGGTTCTTGACCGATGATTTATTTGGTGATGTCGAAAGGGATCTTTGTCATTTTACCCATGAAGTTTAAATACTGAATGTTTGCATCTATTCTGGTGTAACATGGAAAAATATCAAACCCTTTGACTAAAAAATGTCTGGATTTTATTGTGTGCAACCCTGAAACTTCATGATGGTTGCAGCTTTATGAAAAATTACCAGAGCTGATACCGTGGTAACTTGATGTGTTTATCTTTGTCATTGTCTCTTTAAAAACTGCATTCCATGGGGTTGACAAAAAAAAGATATGCAGTGAAATTTGTTAAATTCCTATGAAAAGTTTTAATTATTTAGAAACTGTTGTGTGCTTCCTTTAAGCCATATTGATGCCCCCACTCCACAGAGATGCTCAATCTAAAGGAGTTCTGAATTGGAGTTTATTCAGATTCTTCACATATTTTTTGTGACCTCCATGATTTAAGGTCAGAGACCTCGGCAGGGAGTCAATGGAAGTTGTCACTTTAATCACTTTAGTTCCAAAGATTCATAAAAGTTATGCAAATTGACCTAAATTTTCAGATCCTGCTGAGGGAGTGGGGTTCTGCACTAACCTACCAAGGCTGACCTGGATATATCAGCTGGTAATGAAATACTGGAACAAACCCACTGAAGCAAGTGCCAATTATATAAATAAGGCTACTAAAAGACAAAAGCCTTAATTCAGTAAAAGGCAACATTTGATATTTATAGATCACTACAGATGCAAGTGACACTTCATTGCGGAACAACTGCTCCGAGCTCAGGTAACAGATTTCCTTTGACAGGTTTGTAAAATCCCCATTTTCTCCCATGTTGGTGAAGGGTGAGTAGATTTTTGTACCAGTGTTAATAACGTGTCAAGGCAATTTTTCGAGACTCTTTTTAACACCAGCCAAGACTTCAGCATTGAAAAAGAGAACTTTATTAGCAGGGATGGGGATATCAGATAACAGATTCCTGTTTTCCTCTTGGTTTTGTGCTCGTTCACCCATCAGGAGCATGTTTCACAGCCATTTAAAAAACATTGGAACTGAGCTTCCAGCAACAAGTCCATTAATAACTCCAGCTTCCAGGAGGTTCTAAAATAGGGTTAAAGATATCCTGAAGGCACAAATTTTTTGCTGTTTAAGTCTGCCATCCAGAAGAGAAACTCACTCTCAAAAAAAAAAAAAAGCGCTTTTAGTTCTTTCAGTTGTTTCTCATGAAGAAAATACACACTAAATGCTGCATTTGTTGACCCTCTGTCACCTATGACATTGAGTTAAAAAACTACTTTTCTCAAATGAGCCCAGAAATGTTGTTAAAATGATTTCCACCTTCCTCTGTTCCTCACTGGACTTGGAGCTCAGCGGCAGTGGAGAAGGTTTGTTTGCAGAACTGCAGGTCACAGCAGAGCTTTGCAGACACAGCCCATGGCTCAGGAGGGGCAGTTTGGACATTTGGAAAAACTTCTATCAGAGAGCTTGTGAAGCTGGACAGGCTGCCAAGGGTTCTGCTGTCTCCATCCTGGGCTGGACAGAGCCTTGGCTAAACAGATCTCAAGCTGGGGAGAGCCCTGATTCCCCAGGAGGTGGAAGAGGCAGGTCCATGGCTGCTGTACCTCCGGTGTTCCTTGGATTTGGTGGGTTCAGCCCAGTCAGAGAAGGCACAAAGACCTTTGTGTGGTCACCGACCCTGAGCCAGTTAAAAAGTCCATCTGACCTCCTCAGGCAGGCCGAGCGGCCGCAGGACTGAACATACTTGGCCACAAGACTCTTGGGCTGCGACCACCTCCTCACCCCTTGACTCATCCTTTCCCATATCCAGAATCCCTGAGAAAGTGCTCTGTACCACACACTGCCTGTCAGATGTTCTGCTGCTGAGCTGTTCCCACACCCATCCTCCTTTAAAGAGCAGATCAGTTCTCTGGAACGACTCAAGCTGTTGACAAAAATCCCCCAAGGCTGCTGACAGGAGCCCAGAGATACAGCCTATCAGCATGGCCAGTCCCTGAGTTTTGCTAGCAACTTTTCCTTTTTATTACAGGCCCTGAGAAACCGAGAGAGGGAAGATAGGGACCATCTTCATGCAACACAGTAGCTATTGCCTGATTTGGAATGTTGTTTTGCTGGAGGATCTCCAATATGCTATCAAATAAAACCCTTATTTACAGAGTGAAACGCAAACACAGGAGTTACCAGACGTAACACCAGTGGGAGAAGTAAATGAGGATCTTTAATAGGTAAGGTCACAATTTAGCTACCAGCTAAAAGGTTTTCCTATAGGATTATTTCCATCATCACCCAGAAGCACTATGGATTGGTGTCCATGCAATTTGTAGGTCAAATGTGAAGTCTACTCAGAAAGCTGAATGCTGTGGCAAAATTATCCTGGATTGATGGATTCTAAGAAGGGAGGCTGTAATTTGCAGTGGTGTCAAAGTATAGGCCCTAGCTCAATATCATTGAACTATCAATTATATCAATTTAGGTTTTATTTGATTTTTAACTGTCTGAGCTGGAACTAGAGCCAGTCATTCCATGGCACGCACAGTCCATTGTCATGCAAGCTCCTTTTCAGATGTAGTATCTCTGCAAAGCTGTGGGGATCTCTCCAAGAAGGCCTGTGTTCCTTACTGCTGGAAATAGGGACAAGCTGTCACAGGCTGCTTGTGGATGGTCTCAGTTTGGAGCAGGACAACTTACACAAGGCCATGTGAGATGCAACATTTCTGACTCAGAGACTGCGTAACCCAAACCCACCAGAGGTGAAGATGGAGAAGGAAGTTAAAGCCAATCCATCCCTGCCCAGTTTTCAACCCTGGGTACCACATCAGGACTCTGACCCCCTCCCACCCCAGAACTCACACATTGATCTTCAGCGTCACACTGTGACAAGGAGGTGTCTTTTTGGGACACTGACATACACAGGGGTTAAATGACTCTATGCACCAAAGAGAATCACTGGTGACCCAAAATTACAACGTGGGAGTTCCTGACTCCTAGGCCCGTGCTCATTCCACTAGACCACACTGCCTCCTGAGAAAATATGTTTTAATGATATCTGGCCAGCTGTGTAAACATGTCAAGAGACAACCATGTAAAACTGAACTGCTCCCATTAGGCAAGTTGTAGTCTATTTTATTTGTAAGCAATAATCCCTCCTCCAGGATGATATTTTCACAAACAAAAAATAGGGAAATGAGGAAAAACAAAAGCATTACAGAAAATGTTGGTGACATGACCAAGTTCATTTCCCCTTGAACAGTGAGCCTCTGCCCCTCTACTAGACTCTACTTTCCAGCCTGGCTTCTGATTTGAGAGCTAGTTTTGGGGCTGGATGGGCTGGTGCCCATATGGCAGGTAGGAAAGACACCTCTTTTCACCCTGTGGGGTTTCCTCAGGTGATGAACAGTCACTCCTGCTTACAAATATGGTGCTGTCAGAATCAGAGCTATCAATTAATAAGTCTGAGCACCCTCAATGCTCGGTGTTGTGATTCCTCATTTATGAGAAGACAAAATTTTGCCTGGTGTAGAGCACAGCCAGCCACCCAACAAGGGATCTTTATTCTTTTATTAAAATGCCTCTTTTCTGTCTGTGCACTGCTGGGTACAGAAGAACAAGGGATGTATTTAATGGTAATGTGACCCATCCTCCCAAACACTGGTTTTTGGTATAAAAAACCCAGAGGATGGGTTGCCACTTACTACCACTCTGAAGATAAAAAGCAGTGGGTTTGGTTAAGTAAAATGTCCCAGCACTTGTGTGAGCTGATTCCTCTGAGACAAAATGTTTCAGGCTTTAGTGGGACTGACTGATGTCTTAAAAGAAAAACCACTGCTGTACTCGCTGCCTAGTTCACTGTCAAGGGCCCTTGGCTGTGTGGCACAGGCATCTCGGGGCTCAATTGGCTTCCCTTTGCTCCAGCATGTGGGCACAGATGCATCAAAAAGTAGTGACATTTCTCACTTCCAAACAGTTTGGTTCAGGTTCTGGTGTCAGTGCAGTTGCCAAGTGATCCCACTGCTCCGTGCTCTGCTCTGCATCACCGGAATGCTCTGTCCAGGGGAGCAGGCTCTGGCAGTGCCTTTCAGCTTTGCCCTTACACGTGTATCATGTTGTTTCTGCAGAGTTTATCAGTAGTACTGTCTCTGTTTCTCTCCAGCAGCTACATGCAGAGCTGGGTTCCCCAGGGAGCTCCACCCATGCAGGGCTGGAGATCCAACGCTGTTCCTCTGCTGTGGAGTGCACGACAACAACAGGAGAGGGAAAAGTTCACCGTCTGTGTCACCTGCAACAGACTTGTTCCATAAGGTCTACGGAGATTTTCTGAGGCTGGAGGCTGACTGACAGCAGTAAGTACTGAGCCAAGCACTCTAAAAAGGCATGGCTTGGCTTGGGCTGGGGCTCTGAGCATTGATAATGAATTATTTTATTCTTTGTTTAATGGGATTGTGTTGGAGCCTGCAAGCCCCACTTGTGCTATCATGTTGGGCTGTGGATGATAGAAACTAAAAGGCAGTCACAGTAAAAGAAATCAAAGATGATTCAGAAACTCCAGGTATGCTAATGAAGCAGGAATGCCTGGTACAGGCAGGAAGAAAGTTGGAGTGTTGGATGTTAAAGATAACGCCGGCATTGGCAATGCTGAGAGCGGATATTTCTCACAGAAAGTCAGGGGTAGGTAGTTCTCATGGCTTATTTCTTATCTGGGTTTCCTACTGTTGCTTCCACAATTTTCCTCTTCTTCCTTGCCCTCCCCTTTCCCATCCTCAGCCCTTTCTGGGCTGGATTTGTCTCTAGGGGTGACCCCACCCACTGGATGAGAAAACGCCTCTATGGGGTGTGTTGAGTGTGATACCTGCCCCACCAACGGGGATTTGGAGCTGACCCTGGCTGTGCTGGGCCCTGGCAATAGCAGTGAGGTGGATTAACCTGTCACCTGGCCTTGGTGCACCAGGGGAGGTGTTCTGTTCCCCCGGGGGGAAAGGTCTGGGCCTCCCCTGGGTGTCACACCAGGAGCGAGGACGAGCTGTACACGGGTGTGAAGCCTCGTGCTCCCGGGCTGGGGAATCTGTGTGGGGCTTACAAGGAGATGCTGTTGCTTCACCAGCCCCATCCTGACCAGGCAGCTCTTGGCAGCTGTGTGAGGTTGCTGGTGGGTCCTTCGGACCTGACTTTCTCTCGTGAGGCTCCTCAGCCCTCTGAGGATGGAGGAAGAGCACCCGGCTGCCTCGTAAGCTGTCCGAGGAGAGGGACTGGCTCTGAATTCTGCTGACAAGGGCTGTGGTGGAGGGTTTTTGTAGAGGCCCCAGCTCAGGGCAGGATTTTAGCAGGTGTTGAGGTCTCCCTGAGGCTGGTTTCCGGCAGGTTGAAAGCAGCCTTTCAGCATTACCAGTGATGACATTGGATGAGAAAACATTTTTTTTAAACAGTAGTTTCTTCAAAGCAAGATGTGAAAAGCAAAAAGTCCTTCTTGAACTACAATTTGCTTCCTTGAGTAGAGCACCAGAAACTAATGAAAGCCAGGTGCCTTGGCCTGTCCGAGGAACAGGAAAGGGAAGAAAAGCCAACCTCAGCAGCCTGAAAATTTACAGTTATAGAAACCTACTTTTGCACCCAGGCTCTCCCAAGCAGTAGAGGAGCCCAGGAAGGGACTTCTTTTATGACACCAAAATACTGTGCATGTGGGCAGTGGAGGGGACTGGAGCTGCTGACACAAAATAAAGCAGCTTCCAGGAGCTGGGCTGCTTCCAGGAGTTGCCAGGAGGGAAGGGAGAATGCTGAAAGCTGCTTCAGGGCACTCAGGGCTGTGGTGTGCTAAACAAAGCTCCAGTGAGCCCAGAGCTTGGCCTGAAAGCCTTCTGTCACAAAAGTCGTGTAGGTGTTCAGAGTCCTTCCTGGATGGGGACAGCAATTAGGAGATGAGCTGTGACAAGCTGTGTTGCACAACCATCAAACCAGTTTGGCCATTCATTGCCCCCCAGTTTCATGTTGTGGTGCCAGTGTGTAAGGCAGCACTGGGCTGGCTACACTCCCATGCTGTGTTTATCCTGCCCTTCTGTGTCATCGTTTTGCAGGAAAAGCGTTGGGAGTTGCTCATGTGCTGATGGAATTATATGGACGTGGCAGAAATGAGTCTGACACACTTTCTGAATGACCAAGGTCACTGCATAAATGTGTGTATATGCAGGAATATATGTCTGAAGTGGGGGTGTGTGCATGTATAAATGTGTACATGTATGTCTGTGCGTACCTGGACTCTTGAGCAAAACGTACATGGGCTGGAAAATACCTGAAAGGGCTACAAATAATTGCAATGGTGGGCAAGAGCAGCAAGTGCCCCCTTTCCCTGGGCTCCCTCAGCCACCACAGCTCTGCCAAAGACAATGGCAGGAAGCCAAGGGGAAAGAAAGAGATCGGCGGGGGGAGCAGAACCAGGTTGGGCGTCCTCTGTTTCACACTGAAAGTACGGAAACTCAGGGGCTTAATTCTTTTTTCATGAACCTTTCATCTGGACCAAAAGTGCTTGTACAAGCCTTGCTCCCCTGCCATTCCCCTGGGCTTTACGTACAGGATCGCAGATTTTATCCAGTCCTGCTGACTTTTCTGGGTGGAGATGAAACACTGATTTCCTTTCAGGAAAGCTCATCGGAAAACTCATCTCTTCCTGGGGATGGTTAAATAGTGCTGACTGCACGTATACCTTATGGGAGGAACAGGAGAGGAACAAACCCAGCCAGTTCCAGGTTTTGCAAGTGCTGCAGATGTTGGAGGATAATCTTTAGTAACGAGGGACTGATAAGCACTTTGTTACAGTTTATTAATTACCATGCATGTATTTGACTGATCCCAAGGTCAGATATTGCTGCCCTGGTGTCCTGGTTCAACCCAGAGAAGGAAGCCAGATCCCGGCAGCCACGGGTCTCCCTGTGCAGGGTCAGGCTCATGGTGACGCTGCCTGCAGGGATGGGTCAGCACAGGCAGTGCTTGGTGTGGGGAGAGCCTCTGCACATCCTTCTGCACATCCCTCTGCACTTCCCTTTGTGTTTCCCTCTGCGTATCCCTCTGCCTGTCCCAGCCGAATCCTTGTCCCTCCTGCACTGCCCCAGCCTTGGCTGCCAGGTTTTGATTAAAGATTCATCCACACCAACACCACGCAGGTCTTCCAGTTACTGCTGACTCCTGATGGCACCTAGTCCAGCAGACACAGGGCTGTTATTAGCACTGCAAGGCCAGCAGAGCAAAGAGCTTTTCATTGTATACACTGTTGTAAGGATATTATAACGCAGTTTCCACTTCCTGGTAATTAACTCCATCTTTCCCATTCAACAACAAGAAGCACTGTGTTCCAGATAGGTAGGTCTGCAGAGATGGGAGCTTCTTATTCCAGTTTGAAAACCCCAGGAAATTACTTTGACAGAACATTTTTTCCTGTCATTTAAACACAAAGAAGAAAATACGTCAGCAATAATCTATAAATTTTAGTTTATCTCCTCTCTGTTTTCTTCCCCCTTATACTATCCAAGCCAAGCGTGTACCCATGACTTTGAAATTAAATGAAAGTGGGATTGGTTATTGATGGTATCAGTGGATACTGGTGGATATCTGACAAAGCTTTTCTTCATATCTAGGGTTTTGTCATAAATGAAATACCAAGTTTAGATACTGCTTTAGATAGAGAGATGAATTGCAACTGAACTTCTTGTGGAAACAAACACTGTCATGTGTGCCCCTGTACAGGTTTGAGGGCTATAAAAGATATGAGTAAGAGGGGGAGGATCTGGCAGAATCTAATCCAAAGCTCTTTTCTTTACCTTGTATCTTACCAGGAGAATCACTGGAGCAGATGCCTGGATTCAATGTGAACTTTTTTTAAGCCTTTGTTTGAGGGAGCTGCCAGGAGCACAGCTACAGCCAAATAATTCTTTGCAATGTCATCATTACCAGCAACAGGTATTTATCAAAAAAATCAAGTGAACTAAATACATAAGTAAATACGTAAGTAAAGACTTGCAGGCTGGTAAAGCATGAGAAATGGTGTTGCTCAGCTGACTGGGCACAGGATTGAGTTTCAGATGACCTGGGTTCAGCCTTTGGCTGTTCTGTGGACCTTGAGTTAGGGTCCTTGTCTCTCACCCAGCCCTGGTATTTGTCTAGCTTTGTTTCCTACAGGAATTACTAAAGTTGGTGGGGATAAGCATAAAACTGTCGATGAAATGAGAAGCTGTTGGGGAGGGAAATCAGGGCTGAAGGTGCCTGGGTTTCCTTCAGGTTTGCTGCTGCCCTCCAGGTTGGGGATGGGTATGCTAGACTTGGAGTCGACTAAGCAGGTTGACAGGTCCCTGGTGGTCCTGGCTAGAAAAGGAAGAGCCAAGCCCTTAGCTGCAAGTGTGTTGGTAGGGCAGGGCCGATTTATTCACATAGGTGAATCCAACTGCAAAGCCTTTGTGGCCAGGACTGTTTTCAATCTGGTGGCTGTGCCCAGAATAACAGGAGCAGGATGTCAGTGAGAGCCTCCAGGGTCACTGCAGCACAAATACTGATCAGTCCCTAACAGATAGTGTTTCCTGTCTCCAGCTTTTAAGAGAGCCTTGTGGGCCAAGGAGCTGGAAATCTTCCTCTCTGTTTTACTGGTTGCGGTTTCCAGTTCAGGCAGGTATAACAGGGAAGCGCCTGTTCACGGCTCCATCAGCTCTGGATGTTCTCCAGAGGTTGGGGTGACCTGATGTCTCCTGAGAAAGAAAATATGCCCATGAAGGCTCACTGGAGTGATTACTAGCTGTCCCACACCTTGGGAAGCCAGTGCTATCTGCGGCTCTGCCCTGATGAAACACGGTACTGTCTGGATAACAGCCAGGCCTGGGCGAAATGGCCGGGCAGGGCACAACAAGGGAGCCAGGAGGAAGGAAGTGAAGTCAGCCCTGTGATCCACACCAGACGCTTTGCTACGAACTCATTACCCCTGCCCTGGTCTGCAGCTACAGCTCCTGAGGGAGCTGCCAAACTGGGCATGGAGCTGGCCCATTCCCAGAGTCTCTTTTGGGCACCAGGCAGCCCCTTCCCCAGGGCCCTGTGCAAGGCAGTGGTGGTTACATGGGTAACACAGAGCTCTCCCTGCACAGCCAGCCCGGTGGAAGCGTGGTGATCCACAGGGACTGGTGTGATCCCTGAGGGCTTGCGTGGGGGCTGATGGATGGCCAAGGCTGGAGATGTTGGGTGGGTAGTGATCACAGAAAATATTTGCATTGTTTATCAGGCCATGAAAATCATGGGGTTTAAAGGATATATCCATGGAATGCAACCAATAAGTAGTTGCTTAAGACAGCCTGCTGCTGGGACAGCCAAATCATGGCTTCAGGGCAAACCAGGGAGGAGATCCTGTTCCCTGCAGGTCTGCTGGCAGCAGCTCTGAATGTCCTGAACTCCTGCAGGACTGAGATGACTGTGGCTCTGATCCCAGGGGCTGTGGCTGAGAAAAGAGCAGGCAAGCTCCGAGAGGCAGCTCCACAGGAGCTTCTGACACCAGGAGATGAGGTGAAAGAACTAGAGCTTGGCCTTTTCCTGACTCTTGGTAGCACTGATTTGTTCAAGAAGTAGCAGTTGGAAGGAGAGGAAGCAGAGCAGATGCAGCTGTCGGGTAGGAGGCCAAGGGAGAAAGAGGCAAGACAAGGGAAGACCACTGCTAGGAGACTCGTTCAGCCAAGCCAGCTGCACATCTCATGTTTTGGGTTTTTTTAATTGATTCTTATACTAACAGACAATTAAGCTGATTTGTTGGTTTTTGGCTTTTTTTTTTTTTTTTGGATGTTTCTCTACTTACTGAGTCATTTCCTGGGGGTGGGAAGAAAATAGCATTTCTCTCGAAGCTTCAAAACAGTGTTTCAGGGTTTGGATTGAGGACTCTTTCTTTGTTTGGTTCTTCCCTTTCTTTCATTGAAACAGTTACATTTTAAAAAGCATGAAAACAAGAGCCAGTGGTTGACAGCCCCCTAAACTTCTGCCAGAGCTGCTCTTTGCTGACAGTGTCCACACTGGGTAGCCCAAGGCAGTGTACAGGGTGGAGGATGAGACCGGCCAAAGCGGCCCAGCTCTGGACTGACTTGTCATCATATTCACCCGCAGAGGTTAATGCTTTTTCCAGCTCCCTGCACACGTCACTGGTGTTGGTGCCTGTCTGCTCCGCAGCATGCTGACCTTTCTTCTGGTTTACACATCAAAAAGGACTGTTTTGGCAGCAGCTTCCAGTTCAGCTCACATGCCTTTGCACTGTAGTGGACAAAGCTGCCTATAGCCCCAAAAGCTTGTGTGTGTGCCTGGGGAAGCCTAGTGTGAAACAGTGGCGAGTCTGGATCATTTTTTGGCCAGAAAGCTATAAATACAATGTGTTAGTTAAATCTTTGACTAATAAAAGTGGACATCTGCAATCAAGCTAATTTGCCAGAGATTAGAGCCTAATCAAAATGTAAGAGGCAAAGGGGTTGCCAGCCTCAGAGCAGCATGCATTGACAACTAAGGGATGCACTGGCTTTTTGAAAATAAACAGGAGTTAACAACCTTGAAGGAGAAGTCACACTACCCATGAAGCTCCAAGCACCAACTTCACTCTGTCCAGTCTTGCCTGTGGATTGGGGACAGGAAAACCAATGGCCAAGGTGGAACGAACAGCAAAATCTTCCATTGACATCAGTGGGTTATTGTTTGATAAGCATGTCCTGTAATAGTGTCCAGAGTGTTTTATGCACAGTTTCTCAATGGAGGAGACAAAAGTACACTTTCAGAGTTATTGCCTGTACGTCACACAGTTGGCTTCAGTGGGACCATTGCTCTTGGTTGAGCACTGGTGTAATTAAGCTGGAAGTCAAAGGCAGTCACTGCAGTTACCTCAGATCCAGAGAGGTTTATTTCACTGCAATATTTAGCCAGTTATCCTCCCTAAATAGTGTGCCATGAAGCCAGTGGTGGGAGAAAAGAAGAACCTTTAAAGGTGTGCCCATTGACCCAGTGGATACGGCAGAAGGTATGTTGGCACTATGCACAAGGCAAACTTGATCCTACTCCACCCCTAGTTTCTCATGTCTGTCTTTCATGGTGCCATTGCTTGCAAGGACCCTTAGCACTGCGTGATGTGCAGTAACACCTGGAATTACACGCTTGTCTGAAGCACTAGCCCTTGGAATCAACAGGCACATGGTCAGCAGCAGGCGCTTGTAAAATACAGCCTGTCTGTTGAAAACAGCTTGCTTATTGCCAACAGATTGTATTTTAACCCATTCTCAGCTGGGATGGTGAGGGGCAGTGATTTAATGTTTTAAAACAAAAGGAAGCAACAGAATATGGGTGAATAATTTCCTCCAAACAACGTCATGTGGGTCATCTTCCTCATGCGTTGTTTGTTTTGCTGATTAGTCTTTAGGTAGATATTCATGTATCAACTGTTATTTTCCTCTGTGACTTGTGGTTTTCTGCCCAGGAGCAGGTCCAGTTTCCAGAGTAATTGGGAAGCCAACTCCTTTCTAACTACGCAAAAGATGAACTGTGTTTCCTGCAACTTTAATGCAGTGATTGAGTAATAGCCGGACACAACAGTGTCTTCTGTAAGGAAATATGCCAACAGTTGCTGCTTGGAAGTGAATAAAACTAACTTTTTTTTTTTTTAATTTTAAAAAAAAGTGTTTTGAATGATTTGAAGCTGCAATAACAGCCCTTTCCAGACAAAGCTTACCCTTCACAACAACAGGATGCATTGCTCTATTTGAGCAAGTAATAATATTGGTTTTAGTCACTGCACATGCGTCGCTTCCTGTGGGGGGAATTGCACAGAAAAGTAGTTTATTATGCATCAGATCACTAGTTCATTGCGTTTTTGCAGATTTTATAGACAGAGATGTTTTCTAAAACCATCTGCGTATAGGAAAATATATCTTTGCAATAAGCTGGCGTGTTTATTGGCTGTACAACATACAACAAAATCAAGGTAAGCAGCCTCTGAAGTGTTGCTCTGTTAGCATTAGCAAAACTCTGTGTATTTAGGGTCTCAGTGCTTCTGGCTTACAGTCAGAAAAATTTACTGTCATGAACTGCTCATTCTGGTTGTACAAGACCTTTCACCTAAAAACTTGCGGTTGCTTAAAAGGCAATTACTGGGAGCAATGGCAAGATTTCGCCTAAGGACTCCTTCATTTGCCCCCTGCTAATGATCTGCTGGGATTCTGGCATCTTCTACAACATAAGCGTAGCAGCAATAATTCTGATGTCTGTCATTGCTTCCTTACTTATATTAACAGTTTATTTCATGGCTAACTTCCCATCTTGCAGAGTTGGTTTCTCCATGTCAGGCTGTACTAATGAAAAGAGAACAGATTCTGAACTCTCACTCTTCCAGGGGGGAAAAAATGCCCAAACTCTGCTGAAATCAATGGAGTTGCTCTGCTTTGACCTGGCATAAGGAGGATCCTCATCCACCTTCAGGTAAATGCCTTGGGCTTTTTTTTCTGCCAGGCAAGGCAGCTGCTGACACTGTCCTGGAAGCAATTAACATTTCAATCATCTTTGGGTTTCAGCAGTGCTGTTCCTGTCAGGGCTGAGGCAATACAAAATGACAGGCAATGCCCCATGCCCCGACCTGAGAGGCCATAATAAGATCCCAGCACTTCCCTGATAGTGGAGGACAGTCAGGATCTGTGCCCTGCACAGCTGGGGGGATGCTGGGGAAGGAAACACTTATCAAAGCTGGTGACAACTTTTGAGTGTGCATACGGAAATCAAGGCTGTGCTGTGCTTTTAAAGAATTATTTTTTTAATCTATCTCTATGTCAGTGGAGGATTTTTAATCAGAAAGCTATCAGCATCTGCAGATCCAGGCTTTCCTTCATCATCTGAAGTCAGACTGAACATCTGTCGGCCCAACCAATTGTTTTACCATTTTCCTGCCGAGCTATCCACTGCTGGGAAGAGGAAGGGGGTGTTAAGCCACCCTCTATCCCCAAAGGCCGAGTTTCTTTGTCAGTGTTAAGCGGGAACCTCCTTCCAGTCCAGTGAAGTTAGAAATAAAATCATGATCAGAATGGACCATGCTCTCCCCAATGCCAACAGCCAAAGTGGAACTGGGTCACAGTAAACAGCACAGACAGGGGGAAAAAACGGCTCTGGGGAAACCTTGTCATTGAACTTCACCTTTATCCTCTGGCCACATGAATTGCAGTCTCTGAACACTTCAGCTCAAGCTGTTTAGCTCCTTTATCACTTTATCCCTTTTCCATCCTGTTTGTTCCTTTGGCCAGATCTTTCACTGTGGTTAATTGACCTGGTTTCACTGATTTCTGTGAAGACTGGCCAAGCCTCCCAAGCTGGAGAAGTGGGTCACTGTGCATCATGTACACCGAGCCTTTGGGGGGAGGTTGCCTCGACTCTCTCTCAACAGAGGAGCCTTTTTGCCAACACGTGAAGCTGCATTATCACCTCGATTTCACAGGCTATGACTGACTTCCGTAGGAGGAACACCTGGGAGGTGCTGCGAGGAAAAGGAGGGTCTGGTGACTCAACATCTGTGTGAACCATGTGTGTGTTGGTTCAGATAAATTTAACCTGGGACTTTGAGAACTTCAGACAGAAAAAAAAACCCAACAGATTTTTAACTCCCCAATGAGGGAGTTATTGGATGCACTGCATCGAGTGCTCACAAGAAACAAATGTAGCCGAAAGGGAGAAGTAATCCCTCTGTTAGAAATTACTGCAAACAAACTGCAAATGTTTCCATCACTGTTGAAATCTGAATTGTGAGAGTGAAAGCAGAAAGCTTTCTTTTTTTTTTTTTTTACAGAAGCCACAAGATCTACCCTTGAACCCACTTTCTTTTTAGATCTGGATAAAATTACGCTTAGAGTAGTATTTATTAAGCTAAATGATCAGCTCTAAAAAGACCCAGTCCAGAAGAACAGGAAAGTTACTTAGTGGATGTGTACAGTTTTATTCATTTCAATGGGAGTATTGGACTGTTTCTAGTTAAGCACCAGATTAAGTACTTAATCAGTTCAGAGCCAAATTTCATCCAATTTCTGTAAGAAAAAAATGCAATCCCATTTCAATACAACTAAAGCAGTGCATTGTACCAGTTTCCCTTTTGAAATATAGACAGTAATTGCAATTTGTGAACACAGACACCTCCCAGACTGAATCATTGAGATGCCTGGAAATGAACAACAGCATTCAGGTAGTGATATTTGCTTTGTAAAACAAAGGAGCCTGATTTCACCCATGTACTGCCATATCCTAGTGTAATGCTACTCCCTCGAGTACAGTTGCAAGTGTTTTTCTTGGGATAGTGTGAATGACTCAGACAAAATGGGTTTTTCCTCTGTTTCCCGAGTGACTGATGTGCAGGAAGAGGGAAACGCTGTGTTTCACATGGGAAGTTTTCCAGTGCCTTCCCAAACTTGTCAGACCTTCCTCCTCTGTTCTCCAACTCTGCAATACTTTTACTGCAAGCTGGTAATGGCCTTGGTCAGACTGAAAAGAGATGGCACGGCTGGACCAGCAGATACACAGGGCAATGTACCATTCGTGGACCACCAGTTCCCAGTGCCCTCACTACAGAGTGTCATTGCAGTGGTCGAGGACACAGCTCTGGCATTAACGCAGTCACTGAAAGCCTTCCTGGTGTAAATCCAGCTGAGAGCCAGTGGGAAGGGAGGGTCTTCTCTTGATAACCAGTGCACAAAGATCTGTCAGCCTGGTCCCTGCTTTGAAGGGTTGTGAGGCATCATCCTTTACGGCATTTGTGGAATCTAGTCTTTATTACCTGCTGACAGACACGAGCACCAAACTCCCTTTTATTATTGAACAAAATCAGAGCAGTAAGATATTCAGATTCCCATGGTCATGGGAGAATAAGAAATGTGTGCCTAGCTATAGGATGGTGCTCATCAAATTGTGACTTTCAGAGAATTGTTCCAATTACACCATCAATATATATAGGATTAATATGTGAAAGCCCAGGAAGGCAAACATGCACTTTGGGTTTTATCTTCTGCACAAGCCTCTAGTCTTTCCTCAGGAAA